ACAAAATTTGTCGATAAAAAAGCGGATTTTCTGCCAACTTTTCTAGGTAATAAAATTCAATGATTTGCAAGCGTTGCTCGTTAGTAAGTCTATTCATGATGAAATGTCAAAGCATACTGAGCATCTTTCTCTTTGACACCATGTCTGAAATCCCACGTGATCTGTCAAATACTAATGCATGAAAATCCTAACCTCAAAAAAATCACCCGTTACAAGCATATTACGTATTGCGAAAGATGATATCTCGCCATAATAGTGCCAACAATTGAATTGAAGCTTGGTCGGCTAATAATTCATAGGTACACTATCGGTCATCTCCATTCTTTCATTTCAAAGTCGTACTACTTAGTATGTAACTTACTATGTGTCAATACATATTTATATTTCTTTCACTTACCTTACATTCGACAATGGTCCGAAATTCTCCTCTGTAAAAGTATCTGACGTAGAGCCACGCAACGAATCCCAGCGGTCGATTTTCTTCACTTGCTGCAATGGCAACTTAATTAAATCCTGGCGAGAGCTCGCCTTCATGAACGATTTTGATGAGCTGACACCGATACTGAAAACAAATAATAGAAACGTTGTTAAAAATGTGTTGAAATAAAAAATTGGTTTGCTAAAATCCAGCGCTGAAGCACGTGGCATCATATCTCAACGGCAAATAAAAGCAGCCATATACCAGCCTGCTGTGTGCGCTGTTGCTGAACTGAAAGTGAAATGTTAAGGCGAAAAAGCACGCGCTGACAGGATAATACAACAATACATTTATCTGGCGAATAACAATTTGGCAAGTAGTGAATAATGAGAAAGGAAGGAGGAACAAAAATAATTGCACATAGAAGAATACAAGAAATATTGAATAGATGTATTATGAAGGAAGTACTCCAGAAGAGGGAAATTATAAGAAATGTTGGAAAGAAAAATATATACTAGTGCTTGTATTACAGTGGTTTTTTATTTCGGAATGTTAACTAAAATGATCTAACAACTAACTAATGACAAGTGCAAAAAATATAATTATTTCGTTTGTATGTCAAACGAAAGTAAAGCTTTGTATTTGTTGACTTTGAGAGCGCTTTCTCTAAGGACTTCCATCCAGCCCAGAATGTCTATAATCACTCAAACTTATGGCTATCAAGAGTATTCTTTGTTTTATAGTCGTAAGATAGCAGATGGAGAAACTAATTCGAAGGAGTTGGCTGTGGTTTTCTATGCAGATGACGCGGTTCGATCCTAGACTGCGAATTCTGATCCAGGGAAAGGACAAAATTGGTTTGGGAGATATGTAGGTAGGATCCTCAATGCAACTCTGTTTAGATCTATCCTTCGTTAAAATCTTACATTTAGTAAAGAATGAAAAAACGAATTAGTAGTTGCCTTAAGTAGCTGCCTGACTCTTGGACTCTTTAGATTCATTAAAAACGTATTATCTATGGAGTTCACATTTGATACGATTTATGTACGATTTATGTACTTGTACATATACATTTGGAGAACTTGCATTAGTAAGAGTAAACGACTGCCAGCTTTGGCAGGCACTTCATTATCCGGCAGAGACCAATAAGAAAGCCTGTAACAATTTTTGCATTGTGTCTCGCAGGGTGAAAGTTTAGGAGCGCTTCAGTTGTCCTTGTTCATATTTTCGATATGAAAGAGTAAGTCTAACTATTACCTTCCACATTTTTCCAGTAATGTTGCGCTTCCTACTTCGTCTTCTTTATTGGCGCCTAAGCGATTTTGAGCGAGTCCAAAAAAGCATGCCAGTCGTTTCAATCTTCTGCCAACTGGCGCCAAATGGAAATACCAAGTCCTTCTAAACCTGGACTTTTCAGCGTAAAGGTTAAGGCTACCTCGTATTCTTCCAGGAGCGCTGCCCTGGTGTCTGAGTGTATGTCGTCGCTCATGTGAGCAAATTCTTAGTTTAGTCAGGTGTCCTTTGAACCTGCAAAGTCCTGTAAGCTCATGCAATCTTTAAACCGCTATAGATTATAAGTTCGATGCTCTAAGCAAAGAAGATGGTCCCGATAAAGATTTTTTTCTTATTTGAAGCTCGCACATTCTTAAAAGCCCAATATGTCTATTTACTTCCATATAAGAAAAATATTCAGGGAAACCACCCAATTGGCCGAAAAATTCTCATTCAAAAAACCACACCACGGAATCCCGCTCAAGTGTCATTAGGGAAACAGTGCCCTTAACTAAGAATGAAGTGGCAACTTAAGTACATACATACATACTTATTTTTCCGCCAGACTCATGCACTAATCCATTGTGGATTTGAAAAAAGTGGGGGCTTACGTGACTGGGTGGGCATTGGAGAATACTTTGTAAAGGAGCATAAGAAGGCCAATCTATCAGAGACTAAAAGAGCAAAGCGGAGCTCACAATTGCAAAAAGCAGCGAACCATTGCGTTTTCATACATACCCAGCCAGCAAAATCAACGTAATGGAATATCTTCTCGAAGAAAACCCGGATAAAAATTCGTTTATGATTAGCCGTTTACGATTCGTTTTCCGGCACTTTTTCGCTTGAAATTGTGGAGCGCCTGCGAACAGTCGTAAACGTAATTATAAACTAATGAAAGTTTTTTCTGCTGCTGAAGAATTACTACAAGCCTCTTTCACATTTAAATTTTTTTGTTTTATCCCTCATCAAATATAATGTTCGTAAAACATACGTTTTCTTGCTGGCTGGGTAAATATCTGTATGTACATATGTATACATATGTACGTCAGTGTATTACTAAGTACCTACTATGAACATTCAACATTTAACGCTATGTATTGGAACCACGTTGAGGAAAATAAGTTTGAAAAAATAAAATAAAACAAAGCGCAATAACAAAAGGCAGTAGATGGAACTGTAACTGTGTACATACATACCAGATATGTACATATGTACTAGGGATGTTAATTTTTTAGCTTTTTACGATCCCGGGATCTTCGGTATGTCTTTGTCACAATCCCGGGGAGCCGGGATTAGTCCCGAGCTTTAGATATTCATTACTTTTCAACAACCTAAATCGAAAATTTTTTTTCTATATTGTTTGAGAAGCTCTCCTACCATAAAATAAATAATAAATAAATTGGTTTGAAACCTACTTTTTATTTAAAGTGGAGTTTTTATTTTTTCTCTCTCACGTCAGGATTTATTTCACTAGGATTTTGTAATTTCAAAGATATGGTTAATTCCAAAAATTATTTAAAAAATTCAATGCGATGTAGAATAAAAATATGGGTACCAAATGAAAGAGGAAATTTCTTTAGAATAAAAAAAAATTAATTTTTTTTAGAGTCACAAGGACAAATAGGTAACTTTTGAGGCTGATAAAGTTATAAGGACGAAATTGGAGGATGTTATAGAGTTTATAGGTCCTTAATATATAATTTTTTCAAAAACAAATATTGCGAAATTTCAAGTATAAAATTTTAAAAGGACATTTTCAATATTTACCAGCCCTTCTGCACCAGAAACTTGAATCTGTTTAAATTCTACAGAATTTCTTCTTTAATTTTATTTTCATACCTCTTCTCTAAGCACATTTCACTGAATTTTTAAAATCATTTTCGAATTACTGACGTCAGAGTGAAAAACTAAAAACGCAATTTTACTATATTTTGCCCATGGTTTCGCGAATATATTGAGTTTTGTGTATAAAATTGACTATCGTACTGTGTGATATGTATAATGTGCTAGATATTTAAAAAAAAATATTAATTATTACGTAAAAACAAAAGAAATATAACCAACACTGACCAAGAAAAGGAGTTTCTATTATTGCCATCAGTGCAAATTACAAATCCCGAAAATCCCGAGATTTTTGGGACCTCAAAAAGGCTGGGATCCCGAGATTACCATTCCTAATATCGACGTTTACAAATCAGGGATGAAAAATGAATTTTTCCGAATTGTACCACACGTCAGAAAAAATGTACCAAATCAAATAAAAATGTACCAACAAAGAATTTTAAATGCTTTGACAAAAACAAGAATGTTTAAAACAAATACGTATATGTACATTTATTGAACACCTTTTAAATAAAAATCTTGTAAAAATATACATATATCTACGGTCATAAGCAATAACCACCTAAGTCGCTAAACCTGAATTCGAAAAAACATTTGGATTGTGATGTTAACCTTATGGGGAAACCGAAGTATGTTCGTCTACAACCTTTTATATAGCCGAACTGGCGAGCGGGGGATTTCACATTCACATGAAATAGAAGTGGTATATATACATATGTAAGTATTAAAAGTAGAATAAAAAGTAGTTAAGCATTTCACTTTCGGTGAGATCGTTAGTCACATTTAGGTTTAAAGAATCTCTATGTTTTTTTTATATCATGATAAAAACTTTTAAAATTTTTTATAATCTTTGGCTTTTATTAATGAAGCGAGGGCTTTTACATTTAATCTATTTCTACGTTTAGTTTTTAGCAAATTTAGTCGAAGTTTTTATAAAGTAGAGAAGGAAGAAAGCATTTGTTTAAAGAAGTAGAAATTTTTAACCAACGTAAATATAAAAGCAATAGAAATATACATACACTGCGCTACATTTTCAAATTTTACCAAAAAAGCACAACTGTGGCAACTTTATCATCGCTGGTACAAATGTGCGAAACAAAAGCATAACACAACACAACAAAATCTGACAAAAAATAACAACTCTGGAAAACAATAAGCGAAGCAGATTCAACAAGCTTAACAAACCCCCGCTAAGCGTTGACGTGCGGCCGTTTTTGAAGTATAATTAAAGAAAAATCTTCATTGCTGCGCGCATTTCGCTGGAGAGTCATTGAGTGCGGTACTGTTGCTGCTAAATATGTACGTGATAAACTATGGTACAGTGGATTATTTGGATTATTTCCATCTAAGTTTTAGCAATAATAACACTTAGGCGCTTGCACTTTTGCGAAGTGTTTGGCCCATATTCTCCTCGAATTTGTGGTGTGCTTCTTAATTTTTGTTAGGCAAGCATGGAGGGACCAAAAGTTGTATGCCGCCTTCTAACGGAAAATGGATTTTATGAGAAGCGTTCTAATTTAAATGTTGTACAGACCAGGGATCGAACCTAGGTTCCAAGTTAATAAATTAGGGGTAAATAACATACTGACACCCTGACAGCCCCAACAAGTCTGAAATGATAACTAAAAAAGCAAATTTCAAACTATTTTCACGTTCTCCTCCGATTATGGATGTTTGTCTTAATTTTTTTACCAGGGGCTATAATTGTTATGTTTTTTCAATAATTCGATAAATAATCGTTATTTTTTTTATCGATAACATCGCTACCATGTCGAATTTTCCAATGGGTATATTTAGATGAAATAGCCATTAAATTTTAACTTTTTATTTTCAATCGAAAAATAAAAGTCAAATTTAACAGTAATTTTTTACTGAAAAATACCTATCAAAAAATAATTATTGTTTGTTAATTTTTTTGAACAAAAATCCAAAAAATTTAAATCACAGGCTACAGTAACAGACAGTTGTGCGCCTTCTCTGCTTTCTGTCAAGCCACCTACTCTACCCATGATCTCACTCGTGCTGCCCTT